TGTTAAACGGTTCCATATTCGTCCATAGCGTTATTTGGTAAAAAAAAACGAGTTGACCGATCCGACGTGGCGCGCCACATCACACGCCACGTCGGATCGGTCAACTCGTTTTTTTGACCAAATAATGCTATGGACGAATATGGAACCGTTTAACAAGTTCAGGATTTAACGTGTTCAATTTTGCAAGTTTGGGAATTAATAGGCACTTCTACAAGTTTAGAAATTAATATTACTCCAAAATACAAGTTCCCTTATTATTATTATTATTATTATTATTATTATTATTATTATTATTATTACCTGAACCTCCGATGATGTTGGAAATCGCCGCCGCAAGAGCCACCGTGAAGTTCGGGTCCGCCGCGATGGCCGCTCTCACCGTCTCGACCATGCATGTTTGACTTTGACCCGACAAGAAAGGAGACCTCATCATAACATGGTCGGTAACGTTGGGTAAAGGCACAGCCGTCGGACCGTACTGACCAAGAATCCGCCGCCGATGTGGCGGGAAATGAGCGGAGGCGGCAGCAGAGGAGGAATATTCCGGTGGGGTGGTGAGGTTAAGGGTTATGGTGGGGAAAGGCGCGGAAGCGGAGAGAGTAGCCACCGTGGAGGCGTAAGCAAGGATACTGGAGTGGAAGATGTCAGCGGCGGTGGATGATTGCATGGCTCCATCGGAGGAGGTGGAGCCGGAAAAGAGCATGGAGGCGGCGGAGGAGGTGGTGGCGGCCATGGCGGTGGCGGATGGAGGGAGAGGGTGGTTGTGGTTTCCTTCGTAGGTAGTGATCAAGACACTTGTATCATCCGCACATCGTTGGACCTACATTATTAAAAGATGCATATGATAGATACACAAATGATGATGGTGATGATGATGATGATTACCTGTTTGCGAACGGGACATCCAGTTGCCATGGTGCAACGGTAGTAAGCCCGGGGACATGGATTCCCCTTCGCCATTTTCTGTCCGTATTTTCTCCATTGACAACCATCGCTAATCTATCAAATTCGAAAATCCAAAACAATATAAATAACCAAAAATATATAAGAATTAGTAAATTAGTAGATCCATAAATTTTGAAAATTACCGTAGGATTTTCTGATCTTGCTCTAACAGAAACCCTAGTTTTTCTCTCGGGATTTCGTTCGTCATTAGTCTTAGTTTCAACCAAATTTTGAGTTTCCGGTGAACTTCGGCCGCTGTTGCCGGAAAACTGTTTTTCTGCGGTGGTTGGATTCCCGTCCGCAGCCGGAGAAGACGGAGTTTGATCGATTAATGCACCTTTTGATGATATTATTGCTCGTTCGTGCTCTAGGGCACGTGAATCGCATGATGATAAACCATTCTGGCAGAACAAATTTAAGTTTATCTCTTAGGAAAAAAAATCTTAGGTAAACTGACAAAAAAGATAGTTGTATATAGATGGTGGCGTATTAATTAATTTGCTCCAAGTTACGCTATAAAAAGTTGTAGTATCTATGCAGATGAAGAAGTAAATGTACACATCCGTGGTTACCAATGCAATCATATACGGTCTCCATTCCTATATAATTGTCGTTTTAAAATTTTTTACATTTTTTTAAAAAATATATATAAAAAAGATTTTTATATCCTTATTTAATATAGGTTTAATAATAAAAACTAAATTGTTGTTAAAAGTTTATTAGAATTATAGAATTTTAATAAAAGATCAAATTGGAAATTATTTTATAAAATTACCTAAAAAGGTGAGAACGACATCTATATAGAAGCAAAAATAATTATCTAAAACGTCAACTATTGTGAAAAAAATGGAATATACATATATATATATATATATATGTGTGTTTTGTATTATGAGGTACATAGAGAAATGGAAAAGAGTTAAAATTATTTTATTCATAATAATACTATAAAATAGGTAGTGTAAAAATATGTAACAATTATTTTATTGTATTTTTTCCAAATTGCGGTGTTTTTTTTGTTGTTGTTGAATATTAAATAGAGTGTCCCATCCAAATTGCGGTGTTAATCTGGTTTGTCTATTATTTTTTTTATTAAAATATATGACAGCACCAACTTCGATTAATCACACAACTATATAATAGGGAGATCAACCATATATGTATTAACGCATACAATGTATAATATTTCAAACAATGAAAACATAATATATATATATATATATATATATATTAATGGATATATTTGCCTTAAAAAAGTGTATATATATATATATATATATGTATATATTAATTCAGAGTAACAAGAAATAAATCTTTGTTCGTATTCAAACAAGATTACCCGAGAACTTAGAGAAAACAAAAAAAAAATTATGTTACTGTACGAATAATTAAATAATTACCGATAGTATATGATTATCTTCTTGCAAGTGGTTATGCTTGGCCAAAAGCAGCCTATTGTGCAGCTCGCTGCAACTCTTGTGGATCTCGTCTCTAATGAACTTCTCATCTTTCGGTTCTCTTCATGTAGCCTCTCCATCTCCATTCGGAGTCTCTTTAACTGCAAATAATATTAGTAATCATAACAGATGACGACGACGATGATGATGATGATGATGATGATGATGATGATGATGATGATGATGATGATGATGATGATCGAACTCCATCGACATTCCAGATCGACCAGAATTCCCAGTATTTTAAATCGAGAGTGGCAAACACAAAAACTTTAATTTAAATTGAAAATCGTATAAAAAAAAGTTCAAGTGCACAGAGATGGACGAACCACATACGTAACCAAGATTCAATCGTATAAGCATATATATACTTATATAGAACATATGAATTTCTTTTCCTAAATTTATTATTCAATGAATATATATATATATATATATAACCTTGGTGTAAAAATAAAATCAAAGTTAACATTACAAAACAGAAAGGAAAAACAAAACTTACTTCAGATTTGGTTTCCGAGGTTCTTGAAGTGCCAGAACATGAAGTCCCCAAATTAAATTCAGCCTTAAGCAACATGATTTTTATGCAAAAAACAATATTTGAACAAAGTTTTGGGTTCGTTTGCGTGTATATGTACGGAAAATATACGTGCACGAAAGTATGTTTCATGAATTATTATCCATTAATACATGGGAGAAAAATGAAAACTGGACAATTTTTCAACGAAACAAAGACATGCATACATATATGCATATACGTTTTTATATAGATTACGCAGCATGCACATATATATATATATATATATATAGAGTTGTATATTACGTAATCTATGAACTGAAACCTTACGTCGAGACGGGAAGCTGACCCGGACGATGATCCATCCACCTTTGTCTGATCATTCCGCGGCTGATGACTTTTTGCGGCGAAGAAATCAACTTCTTTTATGGGCGGCTTGCGATGATGTTCCACGCCGGAATCTCGCCGGAGAAATTCTCCGGAGTGCAAGAAGGCAATCTCCCGGCGACCCTCCTTATGTTCGTCCATTTAGAGAGAGAGTATAAGGTTTTGAGGGTGAGTTGTGTAGTCTTATCTAGGTTTCTGTTTTAAATAAGAAATCACTGCTTTCATAAAATGTTACATATTGAACAAGAAAAAGGAAAAAAAAACAATTTACAAACCAAGAAAAATAAAATTAAAAAAAAGGTGGGATAAAAACGGAGAGCTCCTCTCTAGCTCACGGTGTAGACATACACGTTATATACACGAAGACGTGGTGACGGGACCCGTTAAGAGAGCCGTTAGGAGAATTGACGGCGAAGGGTCAACGTAGTTGACGGCACGGCATAACTCGAACGCTATCTGACGGTAAAGAAAACGATAAAGGTCATGGGACCCACATTGGAAGAAAAAACACCAACCCCACTTGACCATTCTTCGAAAGAAAAGAGCCAAAACCCCAAGCGTCATCTCTTTTTTATTTTATTTTTTTTTTCCTCCCAAATAATTATTTCATTAATTTATTTCTGTATCTGTCGTCGTCCACGAGCTTCACGGAAGACCGTCGTGGAAAGCTTACTAGTATTAGTCTTTCAATATATCAGATTATTCCATTTTATTTGTATTATATATATATATACACACATACATGTGTCATGTGTGTGTGTATTTGTATATTCAAACTGGTTACATGGAAATTGAAAATTGATAAAACTCCACCATGTATGCCCATAATAGAGATGTACACTGATTCATGTATATTCCCCAACTCTGTCATAATAATCAGATTATGAGACTGACGAAAACAAAAGGGGATCCTGCGTATGATTGTCTCCGGGTTATTCCACGCATAAGTTTTAGCAATCGAACCATATTGAATTCTCGAACTTTCTAGAGATTCAGATGGGATTTGAGGGAAATTTTATCTTGTGATTTTTTTTCCGTTCAAACGTATAGAATATTGGTATTTATAAAACTCTCACACACTCTAAAGAACCCACGTTTATATATATATATATATATTCTCTTTCATATGTATATGAAATATACATACAACAATCTTAGGGTGCGTGATTTTGATAAAGCACTTATATAATCCATTGTCCAATCGTCTTAGATCTAAGAAATCTATCTCGCATATATATGGTATTTATTATGCTAAAGAAAAATATGAAGTCACTATAACATCTCGATAATGTTATCACTTTATCTACGCAAAGGAAACAAGAGAAATATAGAATGATTATAGTTATATAGTATAGTCCCGATTTCACTATCTTAAAATTATAAAAGGAAATTTTCGACCGTTCCCTTTGATTGATAGTATATTAATAGCTGTTACACATTATTGAAAATTTCTACGTCCACCATTTTCATCGCATATTGATTTTCTCGGTACTCGATACCGCAAGTTTTAATTTGGCATTTATTTGCTTCGTGTGTACAATACATACGTTTTCCTTGTGGACCATACAAGATTACAAAAATTAGCGTTTTGTCGTTATCGGTACACGTTTCAGATCACATGGCCAGTGGTTATAGAATTATGTGTACACACGGTATGTAATTCTACATTTCAACAATATTGCCTATGATAAATTTATAAACTATAAGAAATTTTATCATACATTTTTCCCAAAAAAAAATTAGTTGATAAAAGACGTGGAAAGAACTGTCGGTCAATGATGTAGAAGATGCTAGGGTTCCGGTTGACACTCAAATCAACAGCTGGGAGGTCCTCCTTTGAGAATTTATTTATAAAATTATATATATATGTATGTATATATCATTTTGTCTTTTCAATTTTCCATGTAAGTGGATATATGTGTAATATACGATATATGTTAATACTTTACCATTATAGGTTACGATTACGAAGTATGTATAGTACTATTCAAATCATCTGCTAGGAAAATAAAAGATTTTTTTTTTCGATAACTTAGGAAAATAAAAGATGACTAAATCTTTATATGTTTGAATGGTATAAAAAATTACCCTCTGTTAATACCATTTGTTTATCTATAGAATACATAAAAATATCACAACTAAATAATAATAAAGTCCAATGCAATTATTGTTCATGTACTTTATTATATGGTCACATTATTAGGTAACATATGCAAATCTTTGGACACACTTAAATTTCTATAAAAAGAATTCTACTTTGCGTGAGTTATACATAACCTTTTCCATACTTCATATATTTTTTCGAAATGTTGGACCAAAATCTTACAACTCTCTTGCATTTTTTTTGTCGCTTTGTTCCAATTTGATTATATAAAATGTAATGGCGACAATTGGACCACCATGTAGGGGTCTGAAACTATCAAATTGCGCATCTTTTTCTTAGCAATTTTGAAAAAGGGACAGCGACGATCTTTTAAATTATTCTCATACACACCGTCAGATTTCATTTAACCTATTTTGTTTTCATATTTATACATGTCACGATGCATGCGTTCGTTTTGGAAAATATATATAAGTTCATTATAGTTTTTCTTGATTACACTTTAGTGTATATATTGATTACTAGAATTACCGAAGAATCTACGGATCTGTCCAAATAAAAGACAATAGGGTAACATACTGTATCGACGTGGTCTAACAAAAGTCAAAGTTGCCATCAATCATCATTAGCTGAATATATATATATATATATTATAGAAAGACAGCTTGTTGTTACATGGCCGTTCACTCGTCATCCTTTAAACCTAACTATATGGAAACGAAAAATGAGAAACAAAAAATAATAATTGAAAAAAACAAATTTAAACAGCAAGTATTTTAATAAATCCTTATAAAGTCCACACTTTTTAGTTGCTTCAATTAATTCCCTCTTAAATGCACATGTGCCATTCCCGTAAGATGTTTATTTTTATATTTCTCTCCATTTAATTCTAAAAGCTACATGATATTTCAATATATACACACACTATATATATACGTTATCTCCCTCTCACACACACGCGCACACACATACACCACGCGCGCATGCGCGCACACACGTATATATTTTTGGTATAAACATATATACACACACATATACATATGTTTACACACACACATACATATATATATATATATATATATGAAGAATATGGACTTAACTAAGAGTTGTTTTCGTGAAGTTCTTTTGTCAGTTCATGACGATTTTATTGATGGGATTCTTTTACAAGTTTCTGAACTTGTCAAATTTTGTGAACTTCTCGAACAATATTTGTCAAATTTTACGTAGCACGACAACGTACGTAGAAGGATAGTTACACGTATGAAAAAAAAAATATTTAAGGAATTTCAATCGAATGGGTCTTGAATTTTGAATGTTCCTTCTTAATCTTTAATCATTATACGCATATTAAGAACGTATCCAATAATAATCATCGATAAGAATTATTACGAAAAAGCTCTATTTCTAAATCTAGTAACACAAACACTAATAATCTCACAGTTTTAATCAAAATATATTTCTAAATCTAGAAAATTTAATATAATTAATTAAATATTTTTTGGAAAGCTCCCCATATTTTATACTACAAATCCGCTCATAACCATAACAGATGCGAGGGCATTTTTAAAACATGGTGTTTTACGTAAAACGAAGTTTGTATTTACTCCAATGGTACGTCCCAAAATTATAGGTCTTTGGATTGTCGTTTCCCATGATTTATTGATTATTGACGTTAGACATGCAATGCATTCTAGACATATAAAGACATTTATATATATAGACGGAAATTTGTTCTGCGTCCGTCCATAGTTTGACATTTTTTTCAAGCCCATGATAATTAGGGTTTGGTGGCCGAAAGCGAAAGCCATAGTACGCATTAATTATTTTCTTCAAGGGTGAATTTTTGTACAGAAATTTTAGGTTAGAATACTTTAGGATCTCTATTAAGAATATATTAAGAATATAAGGATAATTTTATAATTTTAATATATATGCGGATATCCGCGGATACACATTGTTTTAATATATAAAACTCGAACCAGAACCCGTATGACGGGTATTTCACTTTTTAATACTCATTTTCGTTTTCGTTAGGTGTCGAGTACCCGTTTACCCACGATATCGGGTACCCGCATACTCGCGGGTAACGGGTTTAAAATGGCCAACTCTAGTCGATGCGATGGTCCGATCATCATTGCGCGTGCGTAATTTGCAAATAATTACATGATTTGAATTGAGATTTTTGGGAATCGAATAAGTTTTTGTATGTTAATTACAATTTTGGATATCTTAATTTCTGGCATGGAAACTCAGAGTTAGAGGGACAATCTATAGCACATAAATAATACAAAGATCGAATGAAAAAAATACTAACTCTTCATAATTTCCAACGTAATAACATCTAATAACATTCAATTTTAATATTATATTAACTCTTCATAATTTCCAACGTTAGAGCATTAAAATTATTATAATTAATGTAATTTTTCGATTTAGAAAACATTAATATATGGACATGGCAAGGCAAAACATTAATGAATAGGAAAGCAGATGCACGCAGATGCGTGAATGCAATTGCGACCCAACACATATTAGACCCGACCCGATTTCGGTGGTGAAATGGGTCGTCTGATCTGAGCCCACACTTAGGAAGATGAGAAAATTTGGACACAACCTTACAAACACACAAATTATTTATGGGCTGAAACGTGGTACGTCTCTATATATTCCCGTTCTTCTGTTACACAATAAACGAAAATGTATGATCCTATCCAAGTGAGAATAAACTATATAACTCCCCATATAGTTTTATATATGCATAATACAATCCGTTTCCATTTTTTTAAACATAAAATTATTAGCTTTTTGAATTCTGCTTATAATAAAAAACAATGCTTTGAACCGTTCCTAGATGGGCCGAGATGTGCAACAATCACAATTCCACGAAATAATTCTCTATATAAAAGTCTTCCCGTTTTTTTTATGAAATCATAATTAAATTTTATTCAACAGAAAATAAGATGCGATACCTTATAAGTATGCAGTCTTACCCTCTATAAAGACGAAGAAAAATAATGACAGTCAAGATCATAAGCGTTTGAGCCCAAAATATATATGTAATCAAACATTTATCATAAAGTAAAAAAAAAAATTGGTCCAACAGAAGTAAGTTAATGTACATATATGTGCGTTGGAAGAGTAGTGCCCGTGAACAAGATGGCACGTCAAGTAATTATAATGTCATGACTCATCATATAACACATGAATATGTTGCAACTATATGCGAATATCTATAATCACATGGTGCAATTAATTGGTAGTGTATCCAACTCTATTGGAGGGCTCTATGCACCATTTGAGCATCTCTGCTTCGATTTATTTGGAAAAGGGAGGGGAAATAATTAATAATGGTAACATATGACTTGGTCCAAAGGACCAAATAATGGTACGATATTTCCCCAATTTGATTGGCTTTTTGTTAGTTAGCCGTCGAAATAGGACTTTTTCGTGTGGATTATGTCGACATCTCTATCTATTTTGCCTCTCCTTTTTTTTTCTTTTCTTCTCTTTCTTACATTGACATTTCCTCCACTGAGAATGAGTCTTCGATAATGCGACGGTGGACACACACCATGATGCAACTGATGCAATCTCATAAATGTTTTGTCGTGATGAACTATATTAAAAAAATCGACTTTTAAAGTCTTTGGTATGTATATAATATAGTATAGCAGTATAATCTAATGTAACATGATTCGATGTATATCATATGTATAACCTTTGCTCAAATATTTGACTCTTTATGGGCTAAATTAAAGGCTTTTGAACTTGATAAGTAATTCTCAAACATTATATTTTGAAAAAAAAAGCAGCAAAAAAAAGTGAATGGGATTATGATATATGTCCGAAATCTAGGTAATCCTATGCATGTGGGTAGATCCCATAACCAAGGAACCTTCTTAATAAGGGAGGGGAAAACTCTACACCGAAGAGAAATTAAAAAAGGTCAAAGTCAAAACGTTGACCTTTGACTTCTGACAGATCCCACTGTTCGGATCCACATGCGTACATCTATATAAACCACGAACTCGTTTCCACCCACAAACCACGAAAACTAACATCATCGAAAAGAGGATAAGAACAGAAAATGGCGAAACACTGTTCCCTTTTGTTCTGGTTCGTGTTCACTGTCTTGTCGCTGTGTTCCACAGAAACCGGAGCCCGGTCTGGAAATTTTCCGTCGCCGATCACCGGTCTGATCCCGAGATCTCTATACGACTCGATGTTTCTCCACAAGGACGATAACGCCTGCCCGGCAAAAGGGTTCTACCCGTACGAGTCGTTCGTGGAGGCGACGAGGCGGTTTCCGGCGTTCGGAACCACCGGAAATATGGAGACGCGGCGGAGGGAGGTGGCGGCATTCTTGGCGCAGATATCTCACGAGACGACCGGAGGGTGGGCCACTGCTCCGGACGGTCCGTACGCTTGGGGTTTGTGTTTTAAAGAGGAAGTGAGCCCTCAAAGCGATTACTGCGACTCTTCTAACGCTCAGTGGCCTTGTTTCCCCGGCAAGTCTTACAAAGGACGTGGCCCCATTCAAATTTCATGGTACGTCGTAATAATAACAACATGTTTATTTTCATAAAAAATAAAATAAAAACAACAACATGTTTATACATGAAGCGTAACGAGGAAACGGTATATATATATATATATATAAAGTTACCTTTCATGTACAACACTATTCTCCTGTTTTTTTTTTCAGGGTTGGGCACTTCAAATTGGGTTATGGATTATGGAACTAATGAGAAACTAATTAATAATATCTAATTGTATTCGAATTAAATTTGATAAAAAACCAAATGAGTATAACTTTTTTAAAATAAAATCATGAAATCCGAGATAAATATAAAAATAACTGAAACACCAATAATTTCTTCAAAACACTAGCATAAAGTTCAGACTCGAACAAAAAACGGATCGAATCGAATCTAATCTAAAAATTGATAGATATAGTATCCATTGTTTAAACCTACTTATTTGTAAATCTTTTCTAAATTGTCTTTACGTTGAAAACTATAGGAACTATAACTATGGACCGGCGGGTCGAGCGCTGGGTTTCGACGGTTTAAGGAACCCGGAAATCGTGGCGAACAACTCCATAATAGCCTTCAAGACAGCACTATGGTTTTGGATGACGGAGCAGAGGCCGAAACCGTCGTGCCATGATGTCATGGTCGGAAGATACAGGCCAACGGCCGCTGATTTGGCTGCAAACCGAACCGGGGGATTCGGTTTAACGACAAATATAATCAACGGCGGTTTAGAGTGTGGGGTAACCGGAGACGGTCGGGTCAATGACCGGGTCGGTTATTTTAAGAGATATGCCCAATTGTTTAATGTGGAAACTGGGCCTTATTTGGACTGTGAGAATCAGAGGCCTTTCTCTTCAAATTAATGGGCCTCTCTCTATCTCTCTCTCTTTTTCAAGTATATAGTCACGTTCTTCGTTGGAGGGTTAATGAAATAATTGAACAATGTAATATCAAGCATTGTATTTTAATTTATATTTTATGCATGTTTCTGATTAATATATAGGCATGACAATTATCTTATTTTTTAAATATTTTAACCCATTTTCTTAAGTTGTTTAATTTCGATGAAATGTTAAATAACATTCTTCTTAGACCCAATTATGATACCAATTCTCTCTTTTTTTTTAATATGTGTATATATATATATATATATATATATATTCTGTATTTCTTACCGTCAGTCTGTTTATATAAATAATATCCACGGTCCATTTGTCATCTCAACAAGCCAAAGGCCGGCTAAGAATGCATCAACGGTCGGTATGATTTTCATCAAATAGACCCCATTGATTAAGTTTTATTATATTTTATGTTTTTCTATACACACAAGGACATTTATACGCACCCATGTACACTTCATATATATTAATTTTATGATAAAACAAAGCTATGTACCAATGAGCATTGGCCAAGTCACGGGTTGTCCTTATCCACGTGTCACGAAACTGCTGGTCAAGTGAGTTGGTCAGCCTCACCTTGTATCAGCTCTTCAACGCCCTACTTAACAATTCCATTAATCATAATCTAATTTATGCATTAATATTCCTTAATCAAACGGATATCCTCTTCCTTTGCATTTTACCATACTGCCCTTTCGAGTCCTAACTAACTCTTTACCCCACTTGACGAGGGTAAGTTTGGTATTTCAGAGAAGCTTGTTGTTTTATAAATAAGATGTCTACGTCGTCATCTTTTAAATTAAATCATTCAACCAACAGAACGTCCATATTCGAGAAATCATTTGGGAGAAAAAAGAAAAGCTAAAATGGCGTTCGATGTTCATCCGAACATGGCGTCCTTCACACGAGAAGAAGACGATCACGAAGATCATCAACAGAACCAGCACCATTCCTTGTCGAGGCTCTCGATCTGTACGAACTACGAAGCAGAGGACGATCATGACGACGAGTACGATGCTGCAGATGACGACGGCGCCGAAGCCGACGAGGAACTTTCCGATTCTGATAAAATCCGCCGGAATAGAGGCTGCGGTCAGGGAGAGATGTCTATGGAGCTCAGTTTCTCGGATTCCGACAAGGAACCAGGTTGTCATTCGCTCCCGGGGACGCCACCGCGGTGGAGGAGGAGGAAATCCCGGGGCGGCGGAGGAGGAGGGGGAGGACAGGAAACGAATTCTCCGGTTTCCGGAGACAAAGCGTACGCGAGCGAGAACGAAGCGCAGAAAAAGGGGAAGCAGGGGGATCAGAGGAGGCGGAGGAGGTTTAGGCGGGAATATCCGCCGTGGGTGGGGAGTATGAGGCGGAGTAACACCGATCAAGGCGGAGTAGGAGGAGTGGTGGTGGTGACGAGGCCGATCGGAGGGGGAAGGCCGTTGTGTATGGATATGGAGGAGGTGAAGGCGTGTAAGGAGTTAGGGTTCGAATTGGAACCGGGTCGGGTTTCGTACTCAGCCGGGTCGAACTTGGATACTAGTAGCGGTGGCAACTCCCCCATCTCTAACCGGCGCATCTCGAGTCCTGGTTCGTTCACAAAAATCACTCTTCTTTTTTTTTTTTTGGTGAGAACTAAGACGAGAAGTGGTGGGTAATATATATGTGTGTGTGTGTGTGTGTGTGTGTGCAGGGGATGACCCGAAAGACGTGAAGGCAAGGCTGAAGGCGTGGGCTCAGGCCGTGGCTTTTGTTTCGACTTCTCGTCATCCTTCTTCTTCCTAGCCCTGTGGGGTTTCTGTTTCTTATTTTGCCAAGTTTTACATTCATTTTCTAATATCCAAAAAAAAAAGAGTACATTCCCACCTCTCTCTCTCTCTTCTTGTATTTTTTTTTTGTTGGGTTAATTTCGTTTGATCTGGGTTGGGTTGGATTGAGTATGATTTTGGAATTTAGGAGTATTTATCCAAATATTGCAGAAAATTTGTTGATATGATTCCCCCCCCCCCAAATGTTTTCTGCATTGTAAGTAATGTTCACACATTCGTACATAAAGATCAATCTAAAGTTATTATGAGTCATCACTCTATCCTCGCCTGTGAAACAAAACTCAACGTTTCATAACAAAGCATAATCGAAAGGAGTCAAAAACATTCTGTGATCTCCCCCCGAATTATTACAAGAATCGTTTCCGTCGCCTATCCTACAGTTCCCTGGATGGTAAACATATAAAATGGATCCACCACTGAATAGAACCCTCTTCTGCAATGTGTATATATTATATGTATATATTTGTATACATTACTCTCTCACGTATATCACATGCATTTAAACATATATGTATATATGTATTCCGCACCGAAATCAGAGAGAGCAATGTTAATAAATAAAAAAATACCGTCTATGAAGAAACCGACCCACTTGCGAGAATTGGATCTCCTCTTCCTTCATCGAACCGATGGTTCCGGTACAGGTCGAGCAAGAGCTTCCGGCACTGTACAACGGCTCCAAGCTTGATGCAGGCCAAGAAGGCACCTGCCAGCTTCCGGTGAAGGCTGTAGGCTTCGTCGGGAGGTGGCGTGAGCCGGTGTTTCAGCATGGTGGCTCCGAGGTTCGAGACACTGTGAGTGATGTTGTTGGCCCGGAAGTCGTAGCCACCAGGCTCGGCGAATGGGAGCCCCACTACGAAACCGGCTTGGACGTGTGCGTCTATCATCACCTCTGATTCCATCCCGGTTAAGAACCCGAGACTCTTCGACATTTCTATCACAGCTTCCCTGTCTTTATCCGCGCATGCCATCACCTGAATGATTCATATTCTGTCACATGTTAGGCAAAAATAGGAGATAGATCAAACTGAAAAAGAACCCTCTTCTGCAGTGTGTGTGTGTGTATATATACATGTACATTACCCTCTCTCACGTTCATTTATGGATAAATGGATGTTAAAATCGGTATACACATGAATAGGGAGGTAGATCAACATGGATCACTTCATGCTCTGCATCCGGGATTACTAAAGTTTATGTTCCCGATGATTAACTGAACCGATTAACATAGGTTTGCAATTAGGAATTTTTTTAGAGTATTTCATGAAAAGTAACCAGAGGAAATAGTGATAAGAAAGTTTTACCATCTGTAGGTAGTCATCCACAAACTTTTTGGGGTAATCCCTGGCTGCTCCAAAGTCAATCAGATTGATCGTATTTGTCACTTCATCGTACATGAAGTTACTCCAGTTTGGATCGGTCTGCATCAGAGAAAGGATTTATCGTTTACTTCTCTGTTTCAGCTTCAGAGTGTGGAAGGAACATAATTAAGGTGGATTGGAAATGGAATATTCTCAACGGAATACTCTGATTTATACCATGGGAGTCAAGCACAGCCACCCAAAGTCATAAAAAGAACAAATCTAAACGCCAACCAATATGAAAGCAACATGAAAAGTTGATCAATGAGAAAACTATAATTCGGTCCAAGCGACCTAGGGAAAATGTCTTCCATGACCGATGATGAACTAATCAAAATCACTCGATAGATCTATTAGTGAGCCAGAATTAGGGAAAAGGCAACGACTGTTCTTGTTCTAGGATCATTCAGGAATCAGGAGAATGAAAAAATTGAATCTCACGAGTTGAATTTGGAAATTTCGAATCAGTGTGACAGGAAGGTAAAAAAGGTTTAAAGAAGCAAAACCTGCATGAAGCGGTAGACAAAGAGCTCCTTTAAAGTGAGTTCCAGCAGTTTTGCCCCCACATAATCGCGTGTTTTCTGGTCTAACAAGGCCACTTTGTCAATGGGGATTCCTGTAACAATCACATATAATTCGGTATAAGACTGCAGAAATGAGATTATACATCTCTTTAGCCATTGCACAGGGCGAATAGACTATGCTGGTACAACATTACCAGGACAAATGAGAAATATAAAAATATTGAATTTCTGTTTAGGCAATCTAAGAATCCAGAGAAATGAGTGCAGTACCAGAAACAAGTTCTGTTGTCAGAACCCTTTTGCTTGAGATTTCATCTATCACAATTGGGACATAAAACCCTGAAGTGTCAGTAAGCAAATCACGGAAGCGTTTCTGATTGGCTGCTTCCAACTCATAGTCACACTCACGAGCTAACTCTTCTTTAGCAACCTGCAAAACATCCATGATGAGCACAAAGGATGCAATAGTGTTCTGTTTGAACGAATCAACTGTTTCTAAAGCAAAACAAGTTTTCATGTATGGTCGAATCGAAGTGTTGAGGAAAATTATCCAAGAAGAAAAACTAGTGGTTCGGTCTGTACAAAATGAGGGAAACAAATGAAATCTTAATATTAGTATCAGAATATATCAATGTGTTCTGCTTAACAACTTAAATATTTTGTTCTAGGCCCGTTATGTCTTGCAACTTGTTATAGATTTCAATTAGAACAACCAAAGAATTTGCTCTGTCGAAGAGAACAATACCTTGATAGCTCTGTCCAGAAAGAGTCCCTTCGGAATCAAGTTTGTATAATTTAATAGGAGCTTGACATTATCGATATCACTTTCAATGCTGTTGGCGACACCAGGGTACTGAATCTTCATTGCAACTTGCATTCCATCTTTTGTGACAGCTCGGTGCACCTAAAAATTGTTTCAAGGGAAAATATGAGAGGGTGATGTATGATATCTGAAGGATGATGAATCACTACTACTATTTATCTTCTCTAACAATGCGGAATTATAACTGAATGAGGACAAGAATAATCATACTTAAGCGTGTAACTCAAGTGCAGCAATTGCTGCAGTACCTGGCCAATGCTTGCTGCTGCCAGTGGTTCATAATCAAAACTAATCAAATTAGATTGCCAATTTGGACCTAATTCAGCATCCAAAACTTGATTAAGTTGGCTCTTAGGCATCACATCAGCACCTTGACGGACAATATCCAGAGCGGCCAAGATCTGAAAAGATCCTACATGTCAATATCATAATCCAGGCATTGTGCTTCCAGAGAGAAGTACAACATGGTTTTGGAACTACCGTCACACACAGAATAGTCCTAATTTGCAAACTGAAGAAGCTAGTGGAGCGGGAAAAAAATGCATCAACAAACACAAGTACTTCCGGAAATAGTGTAGTTTAACGATATAAACAAATAATTAACAGCCGGCAAACTTATTAAAGCAACCAATCCAAATTATGCTAAGAAGAAGATTGCTCTACCGGAGGAGGAACAAGACTCTCATCCTGAATACTCAGCATCTGCCCCACTTTGAGTGCAGCCCCACGCATTCGGCACAAGCCAAGGGCCAACCTTTCTGCATTTTTCTCGGACAAGAAAGCTGAGTACGCGGATTGCTTGTCTTGGGAGCTTGGTGTACCATAAACAAGCCTCTTAGTAGCTTCTTGAAAGGTTCCCAAGGCAAGACCAGCTCCTAGACCAGCAAACCTTCACCAATCACAAACTACTGTCAGGAACATACTTGTTTATGTCCAGTATTGATTCTACGCATTCCGTTTTAGAAACGGAAATGAATGATAGTGGCCGAGATAATTGTAATTCTATCAATTCTATCATCCAATGGGATCAGATAACGTCTCACCCAAGGGCTCTTTGGAAGGGGGTTGACGGAACTCTCCTTTCTCTTGGCCTCCGCCTCTTCACCGGCGCCACTGCCGGCGACGCTGCAGCCGCATCTCCTCCATCAGCTTTAACTCCAGTGTTCTTATCGTCTTCCAAAACTTTTACCTCTTCTTCCCTCTCTAAATTACTAGCCTCACCGGTATTTTCATTTCTCAAGGTTTTCGAGTCAACGGCCTCCTCTTCAACTCTATCCCTAGCGGTAAATTCATCACTCTCCCTCCTGTCGATGAATTCGGCAGTAGCAGATCCAACCTCAGGCGCGAAAGGTAAATCCCTGTTCTCCTTTACGTCATCCTTATTGTCACCATTATCAAAGTAGACGACGGATGATTCCTTGGGAACACGGCTCGATAACTCGCGAACCTTCCCGCTGGTGAGTCCCGCCAAGTCCGTGGCGGTAACCAAAACCTTCTTCGCCGACGATGCGACTAGTTTCTCGAGATCTCCGTTTCGCGCGCTTTCTATCTCCGGCGAACGATTACAGATCTCCTTGGCGACAAGCGATAGACCTTTCAGGAGCCTACTCAGGTGCTTCGACGAACTCATGATCAACGGGTGACGCGTCTACCAGAATCTCAGACTCGTTCGAGCGTTTTCTCCGATCGTTGCTTGGACTTGGGCATTAGGTTTGATAATTGAGAATCTGGAAAATGCCTCAGAAGACGAAGGTAGGAGAAGACGACCTTCAAAGTCGGAGGCGGGCCGATGAGAAACGAAGGTTTACGTGGGGATGGAATGACCAGAAACTGGAGAGCCTCTGTCTCAGGGCGAGGGTCCATCTATGGATCAACTCCAGGCCCATTGGGCTTTCTTCTTGTCTGCAAACATAGGCCCGTTGCTAGTATTTTGTTATAATTACTATACTGATATTATTTTTTAATTTTACAATATCATATTAAATTTGCATATATGTGTGTGTATATATATATATATATATATGTGTGTGTGTATACTATACAGTCTTGAATTTTAAGTTAAGACTGAAGTTTAAGATCTCACGCTACAAAGATTTTAAATTGACTTTTAGGTACATTGTATTTTGTTAATAATTATTTGGAAATCAAAGAGAAGAATATAAACGGTACAAATCCAAATGGGAAAAAGGAGAAGAATAAGAAAGCTTTTAAATTACTACTATACACTGAATTACAATCTCATTAGTAATTATCTACACACACAAAAAAGCATAATTTAATTAAGGAGATAATGAATAAATAATAATATTTCGAAACATGATTAAAGGAAATGGATTTGGGATTAAAAAACAATTTCCAAGTTGGCATCTGACAACAGTAAAAGCCATTTGTCTTGTCTATAAAAATACTTGAAACAATTTCAGAATTGGGGAAACGAATCTTAAAGATTTTTTCAGAGGAAGAAGAAGAAGAAGAAGAAGACGAATGTCCCTAAGAGTTCAAGATCAAGTCGAAACCCATGAAGGTATACGTTTTCCTATTTTCTCATATAAACCTCAACTTCAATATAAATTTAATATCATTTACTGCTGTTTATATGTGTGTGTATATATATATATTGTTTAATCTTCAAAAAAAATTTATCTTCTCATCGAAATCATATGATCTCAACGAGAATAGAGAGAGTTCGATTCCCTTGTAGAGAATAGACGCTTCATCCTCTCTCTCTCTCTCTCTCTCTCTCTCTCTCTCTCTCTCTCTCTCAGATCTCCGAAAGGCTCTGACTTTCTTTTTTCCCAGTTGAAAAGTTTTGATTTTATTTCTGTTGAATTAAATTTCCGATCTTATAGTATTGATTGATATTTTCAGATTCTATACGTGAGTCATGTTTTAGTAGGCAACCATTATTGTAGAAAAAGTGCATTAATCATGCCCAGATCATTCTTGTAGAGATTATCATCATTTAGATCTAGCATCGATAATAACATAGACATTATTTTATACATTATATTCGTATATCTAATATAAAGTCTCTGTTTTACAAAAAATATCATTGTCATACAATTATACAGTAGTTATTTTAAGCATATAATTGACGAATAAAGCCTACACCAGATTTGTATATTTTAAAGACCTGCGAAATACTTTATTATGGTTATTATTGTTATTATGAAAATATAAAAGCAAACACCTAACCCCTTTCCAAAAGTATTATATATTTAGATGGTTTAATATATATATATATATATGTGTGTGTGTGTGTGTGTGTGTGTGTGTTTTCCAAATTGATGATGATGGTGATCATTTCATTAACCATATATATCTATCTAAAATATCTTAACATATTTTAAAACTATTTAAATAATTTATTCAACGTAAGTTTTTAGTAAAATACCTATAGTTTCATCTAATCTAATATTCTCGTAAACGATAAGATATGAAATTCACCCTTACATGGAATAATATGGGCCTCTCTCATTTTCAACAACTTTTCCGGGCATCACTATAAGGCCATTTTCATTTCTTATAAATGGGTTTACTTATAGGCCCATTTGTTATTGATTAATAATAAAAGGCCCTTTAAAAAGCCCAATAAAGCCCATTAAGAGTTTAGTTGAGCAAAATGACAGGCCTTCTTTAGAAACCGGAGATCCAGAAGAAGAAACCATGCGATCATCGTCGCCGATCGTACTGGACTACTCTTCTCCTCCCCCTTATCCTCTCCTCCGCCACCCTCGCTCCGCCGCCGTCGCCACCACCTCCGCCGCAGTTCTCTCGAGATTCCGCCGAAGAAGCCATAATTCCGCTGAAATCTCGCTTTTCTCCTACTCTTCTTCTTCCTCCTCGAAACTTTTAGCTTCCTCCCACAGATGTTCATGTTTCTGCTGCCGGCTAAGCCGCGGTTCTGAACCGGCCGTTCCGGATGAAGATGACGATGATATGTACCTTGAAGGCGATGGTGAGAATGATGTAGATGATGATTACGATAATTATTACTTGGTTGATTGCTTGGCAGATGGGAAGACGGAGGAGGAGTTGCTTGGCGAAGACGGCGTGTTCATCGAGATAAAGAAGCTGGGGAAGAATTCGAGGCGGGTTCGGTCCAAGGTCGGGATCGAAGCGAGTCTAGATTCCGTTTGGAACGTTCTGACGAGCTACGATAAGTTGTCGGACTTCATCCCGGCCCTCGTCGCCAGCGAATTGATCGAGAAGGAGGGAAATCGCGCTCGTATTTTCCAGGTTCCGTTATCGTCCAGTTTTTCACCCACTGGATTTTGTTTCATGTTCTAAAATTTCGATGGAAATCTTTCAGTTTATCTTGTCTGGAAGAAGTTTGCATTGCATTTTTGAAATCTCCAAAGTTTGAAATACAATTCGAATCAAATGCATTACTACATCTTGGTTCAATGTTGCATTAAAACCTGTGATTGCAGTTTGGCTTAATGATCTTGTTCTTGTGGTTGTTCATTTGTGGAATTCCTTCTGAGTTACTTTTGGATAGGAACCATATGTTGAAGAATGCATTCTCGGACCGATTCACTTCAACACCATATGATGGATACATCACATTCTCAAGGGTTTTGATTCCATGGTTCTGTTCTTTAATCAGATTGGACAGCAGAACCTAGCTTTGGGTCTTAAATTTAATGCCAAAGCCGTTCTAGATTGTTACGAGAAGGAGCTTGAGATTTTGCCGAATGGGAAGAGACGTGATATTGAGTTTAAGATGATCGAAGGCGACTTTCAAATGTTTGAAGGCAAATGGTCTATCGAGCAGGTAACACATACTCCTTATATCATATGTTTTCTAATTCTGTGTCAAATCGAACAACCCTTTATGTGATCACTATCACCATTTCCATTCCCGGGGTTATTCATCTTTTCTTCCGGGTTGGCATTAGATACGTGTGTAAGTTCGTCATCTAGAATATCCATCCAGTCCATGTCCTCTTGAGCTGTTATTATAATTGCTTGCAGTTGGACAAAGGAAATCCAGGGGTCAGTTCGAAATCGGAGATTAAAGATTTCAGGACGAAGCTGTCGTATGTGGTGGATGTACAGCCAAAGCCGTGGTTACCTGTCCGACTGATCGAAGGCAGGCTCTGCAAGGAGATCAAAACAAACCTTACTTGCGTACGAGAAGCTGCCCAGAAGTTCATGGAAAGTGCTCTTCAAGATCTTTGATTCCTCCAAAGCCTGTGTTCATAATATGTCAGCTGTTGCAAGTCAGAGAGAATCAATTCAATAAGCTCTTACTTTTAGTTGCAATGGCCAAGTTGCTCGTTGCCCTTAGCTTCTTTTGCCTCATTCTAAAATACCCTTTTTAGAAAGAACCATTTTTGAACATGGGGAATTCCCTCTTTTCTGTTTTGAAATAATATCATTAATTATCATTAATTCCCTTATAGTATGCACAATGAAGGGTCGCAGACAAAAAGAAAAGAACGGGAATTCTATCACCAAAGCCGAATATGATAATGGGCTCATCACACGTATAGGGCTCTCAATACGAACGTCCAAAGGAACTGCCTTCGATGAAGAAGACGCAAAGCAGAATGCGTCATTAGGGTTTCAGGGTTCTTACCTCTTTTCGCATTGATGAAATGCGTCAATTGTTTTCGACGGGTAATTTAAGAAGATAAAAAAGGATCGATTTTTGTTAATGGGCGGGTTTGGCAGATTGGCACTGGGAGAGAAAACTGGTAAATCCCTGCCTTGCCTATGGCTCAGGATAGAATTTGAAAGGTGAAGAAGACAGACAAGAACGAAGGGGATGGAGAGACAGAGGAGTTGGTGTTGCAGGGAACTGCTGTCTTGATTGAAGATCCCAACATGTAAGATGTCGATTAACTCGTGCTTTGTCTTTTTATGTTCGTGTATTACTTTTAAAGCGATTGATCTTTTGATTAGCTTGAAGGAATGAGCGACTGCTATCTAGTGTTCGGTCTCTCTCTCTCTCTCTCTGTGTAGTTACTAAGGTTTAAGCACAATGATCACGAGGAACAGTATACTGCATTAAGTAGGTTGTTTCACATCTGATGGGTTTTCTGGGTGGTTCTTTCTGTATGCTTCTGTTCTTGTTCTTGTTCCAGGCTTTCTATATGGTTTTCCCGTGTTTCGTTTCGTGGTTTGGCTCTGTATTTTATTGATCGACATGGACCGGAATATGAGATTGTCCGACTGTTTTCATGTTGGTGGTGTTTTTTTACTGCTTCAACAGGGTGAAGTGCATTGAAACAAGAATTGGTGAAGAAGAGCGGGAAGAATCTTAACACTTCAGATCGGGTTGAGAATGAACTGAAGCGCGTTGAAGATGAATTCTACAAGATACCTGAGCACCTTACCGTAAAAAGACTGCCCGTGACATCGATTGTCAAAATTTTCCCGATGCCAGGTTTCATTTTAAATCCTCTGGACCATTGTCATTTTGGCTGCAAAACTAGAGCTTTGTCTGGAACCGGGTAAACATCTGTCTTTGTATAATTTACGAGTAGATATGAAGCTGATAACATCCTTTGGCTGTGTGATCATGTCATTTCGTTAGATTCTGTAAGCGTTTGTTCGAGAAGTTGATTTCTGACAGTGATGTGGTGGATAGTAAACGCTTTTTTCTTAAATTTTCATATACAGATATCTCTGCTCGAGTCCTGCCCTGACAAATAAACGGTGAGGGTGAGGGCTGAAAAAAGCACAATGCAGGCTTCTTTCCGGCAGATGTCGCAGCAGGAAAATGACGGAAAACATGAAAGATACAGAAGATATGCACGCAAGAAAAGGCGAAAACCATAAACACCGGGGTAGAGTGAGTGATCTAGAAGTTGACGTTGCTCTTGAAGGTCTGACCAAACCGCCAGTTCGAAGGGACAACGTTGAGAGCTGTCTTGATCCTCCCGTTACTGGCTTGAACTCTGAATGAGAGACTCTGACCGTTGAGGTAAGAAAGGCTCTGCCAGTTAGCTCCCCAGTTCCTCGACATAGTCTCCCATCTGTTGCTCTTTGAGCCTTTGATCCATACTTTGGAAATCTCTCCGATTCCTCCGACGTTTGAGATGAGGACCAGCTCGAAGTAGTTCCTCCCGTTGATGGTGAATCTCATCCCTCCGCTTCTTCTGCATCCGACCCTGAAGGTAAAAAGAAAAAAAACCCAGAAGAAGAACTCTTCTTAGCTTTCACTTTTTGATGATATTGGCATCGGGCAAGAACTGGAAGGGTGGGGTCTCGAGATATTTTACCTTCTGTAGAGGATGGGGACGATACCGGCTTTGTACTTGGCGATGGTGAGAAAAGCGGGCTGAGCCATGTCGAAGTGAGGTCTGGGAGGGTTGCACCATCCGCCATTGTTGCTCGGAAGGTTGAAGTTCGGTGGGCAGAAGTTTGTGGCGGTGATTGTGATGGTTTTGCCCTTCAGACACCATTGTGGCACTTTGGCCGAATTGCAAATGATCTGGTAACAGCCGCCGCAGGCTTTTCCGTCGTTGAAAAGGGCCGTACTCAGAGCCGCCGTGTTAGTTCCGTACCCGTCCGTGTACAGATTGCCATAGCCACATGCTCCACCTGCATAGGATTCAGAAAAAAAAAAGGGTTCATACAGTGTAATCTGACGTATATTTCGGGCTCTATCTTCATTTTTATGGATAGTTTCTTGCGGTGGAAGAAACAGGCAGCCATTTTAGGTTATGGGTTTCTTGGGGAGGAAGCAACGGAGAGAGAAGAGTCCTGAGGATTTTTACCCATTGTACCAGAAGCATCACTTCCGCCATAGAAGGTGGCATGAGCTTGCAACCAACCTGCAGAAACCGAACTGATCTTCGCGAAGAAGAAGACAGCGACCAGAAGAGAGAGAAGAACCTTGGCCATTTTCTTTTTGTCTTTTTGGTCTTGTTTTCGCGCTGAGGTTGGAGGAAGACGCAGGCTTCAGCAGCTATTTATAGTGATGAACACATAACGTAATTTATGTAAATTGTATAAAAAAAATAAGTTGTTATTTATGTAATTTGCAGGATGATTATAAATAAATATGATTGGTATAGTGATTGACCAAATGATTGTCAGAGGGCGAACAATACGGAATTCTCATGCACATGGTTATAAGGCTCCTCCGTTGACATGTGACAGTTGGTGATGGGAGTTGCTGAAGTAAATTATTTATTTATTCGACATATGGTTACATAATGTAAGCATGTATTAACCATGTTATAGATCATATATGACATATATGTGTTAACTCTAAAATATATAAAACTATATCAATTTTTTGGTTCAGATGGATCCAGTTATTTGTGGATTTATAGCGTTATTATTTTACATAGAACAGTCGTTTTTGTCATTGTATTTCGTGAATGAACCGATTACAAAAAAAAAAAAAAATCAATTTGTCAAAAGCAATGATATATGAACAAAGCTATAACAATGGGAGAGAATATTCATACACTACAAATCCAGTTTTTTTTTTGGGTGGATTACAAATCAAGTTAAATATAGTAAAGTCATATATATATATATATGTATGTATGGGGCAAGTTGTCTTAAATATTGGGGAATTTGTCTGAAGTTGGAACGTGGATTATGTTGACGGCAATGGCTGATAAGTGCTCCACTGCTCCTCCTTTTGGGAATATTACTCAAATAACCCACTTGGGTCGCAGCAATTTCAGTGTACACCACCGAAAAAAAAAAAAATTTTGCGACCTTATTACGACTAATATATAACTAATATACAACCTATTACGACTAACAAACTACTCTTATTTTGGTTGTATATTAGTTATATATTAGTCGTAATAAGGTCGCAAAATTTTTTTTTTTCTGGGTGGTGTACCCTGAAATTGCTGCGACCCAAGTGGGTTATTAGGGTTAAAACCCCCCTCCTTTTCTCTTAAGTTCCGTGGTACGTTTAAGGACAAATTGAAATAAAAATAATTCGATTTGATTGGTTATCAAATGATTTGAGATTTTTTTTATAGGTGGACTGCCTTTTTTTTTTTAATTCAAACCAACAAGTGGTTGCAGGTTTTCTGTAACCCTAAAATGAAGTCAATGCTTAATCAGATGACATATATATCTTGGACAGTTAAACTTTTACGTCAAGCATGCATTATATGTACGGCAATATTCTTAACTTAACAACCAAGAAACAAAAGTTTAAAATCTACTAATAATATTAATATTTTTTATTGTTGATAATAATAGTCTATATATCTAGTAGATTAAATACAAATGAAAACTCCAAACTTCATAAGTATATATTGTTGATGCTCTTAATATTAACAAAATTGATTATACAAATATGTATATTAACATAATTGCAGTCTATCTATAATTCCGATATTAGAAATTCATTCAATAAAAACCACGATATAAAAATGCTGAATGCTCATTTTTATTAGTAATATTTAAGTATATACTTTGGCTATCTTGATAAGCATTTTTTTTAAAGAATATATTCTTCCGCCCACCGGTATTGATAGTTATGGACACTATTTAATGGTTTTATAACAATATATAAATATAATAATTTGTACAAAAAAAAGGATAAGTATATAATAGTAATAAAATCGAAAAGTCAATCGTCAATATAGGTACGTAACACTATCACTAAATGCAACACAATAGGAGGGCTAGTATGAAGGCATATCAAAGGGGCAAGCTCACGTACTTATCACATGGCTGATGCCATCTGTATGGTAGCACATGCACTCATCCAATCATGAAATTCATTTGTATGCATAAAGAAATATTCTGTACGACCTGATTGATAAAAACGTACAATTATATATATATATATATATATATACGACTTAGTATGAACTATGAAGCAATATGTTATATTCCGAGCTTTGACCGTATGATTGAAGGGTTCACCGCCAAAAAGCTACGCTCTTATGAACTAATTTTAATTCGTATTTTTCATTAAGTATTAATTTCTTCTAAAAAAAATATATTTCTATTCTATATCAATAAAAACCTATAGATCAATTCAAGATTGAATCACTAACTTGTAAGAGACGGAGCAATAAAAACCTATAGATATTCAAATTGCATTTTTCTTTTATCTAGAAGATATAATCGGATTAAAAATACGATTAACTTTCGAATTATCAAAAAAAAAAATTGTAGTTAGGAAAAAAACGCCCAAGTTTGTTTTTTCCATGTGTAAATTCTATCAGTGGGCACGTGTTTGCATAATGTAGAGAAACAACCCATGAGTTCATCATGTTGGCCCAATAGCATCTTATAAAAGCCCAACCTAGTATTCGTATGTTGGTCCAATAGTCTGGAGATGATCCCAAATACACGAAATTTTGTAAAAGATGTTAAAAAATACGTATTTTTAATTTAATAAATAAATATATTAAATATTAAAATATGCCAAACAATTTTTGAAATATAGATTAATTTTTTATACGAAAATAAATGCTAATCTATATATAAAAAAAATCGTTTGTTATATTTTAATATTTGATATATTTATTTATTAAATTAAAAATCCTTATATGTATATATATATTTTTGTTACAAGGTTGTGTATTTTCATGAAAATTTTCGTAAACCAAATGCCTTTTCTGTTGAAGCAGAGGAAACTTAAACGAGGTCTTTTATTCCAGTAGCAAAACCCCACAGACAAGAGTTCGAGATACAACAGCAAGAACCAGAAGCCATGATAATGTATAACGTATAATATACTAACAGGAGGCGTTTTCCTTTTCAGGGGATCAAAAAGGAACCATTCTGAATCACGTCGTCGTTTTAAGCCGATGCAACCCAAAGATGATCCGAACCAGCGATTTCCCGAGCGAGATTCTTGCTCGAAGGCAAACCCGCCACTGCATCCTCCTCTATTCCGCACTCGTTCGTCCCTCTCCTGATCTTGAAGTATCCTTCCTGCATTTTCCCACCAACCCAATTGTTTTTCTTACATTACATTCATCGGCTATTCAACAACAATGGTTGGTTGGAGGAGAGAGAGAAACTTTAAACTTACTTCACCCCACCCTCTGTTCCATTGGTTTGCCATAAGCTGTAACGATTCAAGGCGACAGAGAATGAGAATTTCCAGATTTTTGAAATGAAAATGACCCGAAAACATGTGAATTTCCAAGTGGTTATATATGTATACATACCCAGTAATCTTCACCTTCCTCCGAGGTTCCCCAGCCGATAAGCTTAACTGCGTGTCCTCCAATGTTACCGCCCGTTATGTGCTTGTAAACACCAGACTTGTAATGTGCAAAATCCTGTACAATGCGAGCAAAGCCACATAAGAAGCAAGTTCTCCGTCCAGGAAACAAAATATACAATCAATTTAACTTACCTCATAAACGGTAAAGTCGACCTCAACAGGCCCGTTCTTGTAAACTTCTGCCATTAAATCTTGTGGGTCAGAATTGATTTTGTAAGCACTAACACTAAAGTGTTTCGATTCATTCCACAGCTGGTTCCCGTCAACGCATTTCCTCACGCATTCTGGGGTTTGATACGCCGGTTCACAACCCGGGTGAGAACAGCCAGTATTGTCAAAGTACGGGTCACACTGAATCAAAGAACCATGCAATCAAGCATTCAATTAATCGAAAGAGGTTCATAACTACAATCTGTGTCACTTCATGGTCTGGCATCTGCAAGAGAAATGGTTACCTCTTCTGTGACAACACCCCGGTACTTAAAGTACTGCCAGGCAGAAATGGGGTATCCACCATCACAGCCATCACCGCAGAGGAACCCACAGCATGCTAAGAGATCGTTAACCGATAATGGAACATTCTGCATCGGCAAGACAGATTAAATCAGCTACCATGAAAGATGTAATGAACCATCGATCTCGGCTGTATGGTAAAAAAATGGAATACCATGCCAAAATGGATACAGAATCTGTCTGATAGCGATTCAACTGCAGCAAATGCCCAGCAAGAACCACAATGACCCTAAACAAGCCAAAACCCAAATGCCATCACTGATCTGATCACAGGTGCTTGATAGGGAAACCTAAAGTTAGAAGACGGTAAATGAGGTTTACATTTATTTACCTGATCTTTAGTGAGACAGTTGAGCCAGAGGGTTCGACACAAGTTAAAGTCAGTAAATCATGTTGCCAATTAATAAAAAAACATTTGACATGAATTTGGAAATCTAAAACTGACCCAAGATCCTTCCGATGGTGGTGCACTGAGGCCAAGCAGTTCTTGCATCAAATTCTTTTGGCAGCTTCAAGGATCTGTCATGGCTGACGATAGGCACACCCAAAAGTTCCTTCTTTGGTGTCGGTTTCACCCCGAGGAGGCGTTTAAATTCTGCAACCTGAACATACAGAAGCAAAACACCAAAGCTAGAAAAGTTCAGGAACAAGTATAAGCATGAGTCCATAATACACAGATGGATTTCATCTCATAAGAGAAAGCAAGCCAGTAGGCTCACGGTGGCATTGGAAAACCGGTCATTGATGGCAGCTTTCCATCCGGCATTCGGGTTTTCATTTACTTGCTTCACAATCTCATCCTGCAAAGAATGCACTTTGACTGAACACTCAAAAGAAGAAAAACAACAAACAGGCAAATAAAAGTCTAAGAATCTAATCTAAATCATCCAACCTTTAACCAATTCAAAGAAACAGCTCCCGCATGTATTCAGTCATAAAAGCATTGGGAGTACCTGAAGAATCCGCGAGTTCAGCTTCAGCTTGGAAAGACTTACTGCAGAGACACCCTGATTCAACAAAGATCACCTACTTCAGGTAAAGCACTCTCTACTGATGGATAAACATAATAGACTGAATTTTGCTTCTCCCCTTCTACTGACAATGAATTCAATTGCCCAACAACTTATCCAAATAACGATTCCACTCAAGGAAACAAGACAAAATCCGAACAAGTCACTGCTTTTCTTAGAAAGGTACTGTTTTTAAGATACTGTAATTGATAGATTCACTTGAATTTTACACTTTACTCTTCAAAAGTCAAAACCAAACCAAACCCAGGAAAGACGGATGAACAACCGATCAGACCCAAAAAAGGGTTAAAAAAACAAATCAAACCCACGAATTAACAGATCGAACTGAACGTATCACGAACATTAATAATACTCGATCGTCCTAAATAAACTAAACCCAGAAAAGAAGAGGATGCAACTTTGAAGCTTACACGCAAGCTAAAGCACGATACAAGCCCTAGAAGCAAGAACACGGAGACCAGTCGGAGTCTGATACTTTCATTAGCCATGAATCTCTTCCTCTCTCCCTCTCTCCGTCTCCTGGACGAATCAATAGATATTCCGAAGCCGTCGGAGAGAATCTCACCGGTGGGGTCTGCTTTTATAGAGAGAGAGAGTCAGAGAGAGAAACCAAGAAGATGGGCTTATCTTTTCGAGAATGAGAGAGACATTTCTTGGAAAAATGAATTACCCAATGACATGACAGTTTCAGGCAGGGAAGAACTTTTGGCGAAGAGATCCTGGCCGTTGATTGGGTCATTCTGGAAAATCTAAACCGTTCATGTGATCTTACCCTGCCACGTAGTTGTAGATTTTTTCGTGAAATTAATTTCCAAAGTTATTTTATTGCTGACATGCAATATAATCGTAGAATAATTTGTGTAACAGTGCGTAGATCCACTGTCACATTTCACGTGATTGGACCATTCTCCACGAAACCTCACGAGTCACGTATCCCAATACAAATTCATGATTCGTATAATTAAATGTCTACTTGGTTAATAATGGAATAATTTAATATAAAAATCTAATATTTATTATTATTTTTAAATCAAACTCGAACTGAATATAAACTGATCATAATATCGAAAATTTCTTAATGAGAATTTTTACCAACCCAACTAAAACAAAATAAATTTAAAATAGTTAGATTTTTTTAAAATTAAATAACTGAACCGAATACCTGTTTAGAAACCCGCTTAAAAGACAACATTGACAAACCAATAAATAAGCGGAAACAAAAACTTATGTCGTGAAACGGCGCCGTTTTAATCCTGGACCCCATATAAAACGACGTAGTATAGGTATAAAGCTTTCGAAGCCCAATACCTAGCCCAAGCCCAAACTTAATAAGCTCAAGACCGAACCTTAACCCCCCCCCCCCTCCTGAAAGTTTGCTCCTCCGGCTTTGTAAACCCTAACGTTCACCGGCTTCTTCATCTTCGATCAACGCGAATAGACAAACAGGATACATCGGTCGGAAAAATGGGAGGTAAGAGGAAGAAGAGCGACGGTGAAGCTATGGAAGCAGAAGATAGCGAGAGAGCGAGTACCGGTGGGGAGGAGAAGAAGAAAAAGCAGAAGCAGGAGATTCTTCCGTCCATGATAAAGAACAAGGAGAAGAGATCTCAAGTATACGCCAAGCTCAGGCACGAGAAGAAAGTGGAGAAGAGGAAGAAGATTAAGGCCCGTGACGCCGCGGAGAAGCGAGCTCTTGAGCTTGGCGAGGAGGTAGTGAACTGAGGAAATTAGGGTTTTTGTTTTTTGATTGGTTGTTCGGATTAGGGGCTTCGACCGTGCTGTGTAAATTGGTTCTCGTTTTCTCGTGCAGCCTCCGGAGAGGATAGTCCCCCGAACAATTGAGAATACTAGAGAGCAAGACGAGACTGTTTGCAGACCCAATGACGAAGAGGTATCTTCTGTTAATTTCTCGTTTCGTGGAATTTGAATTCTCCTGCATCCTTTGGCTGTTGTTTGGTTTCAATTTGTGCAATTCATGTCATAATTGCCAAGTCGTGTCACTGAGTTTCGATTATGTCTCAATTGCAGCTGTTTGCTGATATTGATGGGGATGAATTTCGTCCAATTCTAGGGCATGAGGTTACACCGAAGATCCTGATCACAACATGTCGTTTCAATTCTACTGTAAGAATCTTACACATTAGCTGTTGTCTGTTATATGCCTTACATGAGGAATTCCGTCAATTATATAAGATATTGATCACAACACGAGGATTTGTTATTTACTACTGTATTTTTTGTGGGTTTCAGAGGGGGCCTGCATTTGTATCGGAGTTGCTCTCTGTTATCCCGAATTCTCATTATTACAAGAGAGGAACGTATGATCTGAAAAAGGTGCTGCTTGTTGTGTTTATATATCCCGATATAGTTAAAGTCAGCAAGTTGAATGTGAAACTTAACAATTATTTCTCGCATTATGCAGATCGTAGAATATGCGAAGAAGAAAGACTTTACATCTCTGGTTGTGGTCCATACGAACCGCAGGGAACCAGGTTAGTTCCCCTCCATATTTCATACGTTGACGTGTATATCCATATTTCTACCTTCTATATTCATCTCTGTACAGGTTGTGTATTCTTCTGTTTAAGAAAGTTTGTGATTAATATGCAGATGCTCTCCTTATCATTGGCTTGCCAGATGGGCCTACTGCTCATTTCAAATTATCGCATCTTGTTCTGCGGAAGGATATAAAGGTATAAGCTTTTTTCTCTAAGTTTTTTTTGTTTGAGTTTTTGCGAAAAACGGTGTTTAAAAGTTGTGTACCCTACCCTGTGTCTGATACACTGGCTGAAGTTTTTTAGTTTAACTAGTGAAATTTTTATTACCATTACAGAATCATGGGAATCCTACAAGCCATGAACCGGAGATCGTGTTAAATAATTTCACTACACGCTTGGGTCATCGTGTTGGCCGGTAGCTGTTATTTTCAGTCTTTCACTTCGTTGTAAATCTTTTCTTTGCAAGGATGCTAATTGCACGCTCTCGATCTTGTCAGTCTCATTGATGTCTTGTTTATGATTTTGCAGAATGATACAATCACTCTTCCCTCAAGATCCAAACTTTCGTGGTCGGAGAGTTGTAACATTCCACAACCAACGAGATTTCATATTTTTCCGACATCATCGGTATGTTGCAATCTCTCTGCACCGGTCTTGAGGTTTGTCTGCTAAAAACTCCAACCAGGGAAAACATATTTCTAACGATATGCCATTTGATTCAGTTACATCTTTGAGACCAAGGAAAGTAAGCAAAGCGATTCAAAAGCAAAGGGAGCTGGCAATAACAAGGAAAAGGATGGCATAGCTCGAGAAAAAGTAATAGCTCACCTTCAGGTCAGTACACATTTTTCGCACCCTCTGCTTTTACCTGCGATATTTTGTTATGAAACATCATAAAAATTCTGTGGCAGGAATGCGGTCCGCGATTTACGCTCAAGCTGATAAGTTTACAGCATGGAACTTTTGACACCAAAGGCGGAGAGTATGAATGGGTTCATAAGGTGAATCCGTTACATACATTTGATTTGGACTGTCTTGAAAAACATATCACTAGCCTTGCTAATTTATCTTATATTGTTTGCCGATTTCTCAGCCTGAAATGGACACAAGCAGGAGGAGGTTCTTCTTATGATCCGGTTCTTTAATGAACAATGCCTTTGGTTTCCTGTGGGGGCAAAAGTCAATACAATTCGACCAATTTTGTAGCAGAGCAGAGCAGAGCAGACCATCATTTGGTATATCTGGACAACCCTTTACTATATTCTTTGTATTTGTCCCTGATATCATGCCATCTTTTTATGCACAAGAATTGTTCTTTGTCCTGCTTATCGAATCCCTTGTTTTTTCCATAATCGATTAGGTCAATTTTCTGTGATGGGGTATTTATCCGAATCAGTATTTTCCTTCTTGTAGCAGACCCGGAAACAAAAATCAAGAGCTATAATTATATTAGAATTTGTCAATCCAGACATACATACACATATATGTGCGTATGTGTCAATTTGTATGTATTCATGTAATTGTATTACTATTTGCTTATGCCGTGTGGGTTTACATTTGTAAATCGGCCCACAAGCCCGTTTTCTATGGGCGCACAACTCAACTGGTTCTGTAATCGAAATTTCTATTTCCAAAAAACATATGAGCTCATGCAATTGAGGATGTGGAACCGGAAGATAGTTAACATGATTCCGTAAGGAGAAATCTGAAGGAAAATGCACCGAAAATTCGTTGAATAGACACAGTAACTACCCGAACCAGAAATCAACCGAAAATAATTCCAACTAATATTTATATACATATATATATATATATGTATGTATATATTTAACAAGGGGCGGAATAAGTATGCATGTATGTCCGGACAATAAACAAGCAAGGGGCGGTTTCGTGTTTTGGTTTTTCTGAGAGCCATTGGCACACGTAAAGGTCGAATCTTTCCGTTCCCCGGAAAAAGAAAAGTTGTCTTAATTTAATAAATAACCGGATATTAATAATCTTCTCGACCCCTTCTCTAAGGGGAATTTTACTCAAATAACCCAGTTGGGTCGCACCTATTTCAGCGTACACTATTGAAAATTTTTTTTTTTTAATTTTAACCCACTTTTCGATTAAAAAAGTCCGAAATATCCTTTTCTTTTTATTTTTGCGACTTAATTACGACTAACATATCACTGATATACAATATGATTTTTTGCCACCTTTTTTAGAATCAATTGTAATTATATTTAGAATCAATTACGAAGTCGTAATAACGAAATTATTTTCGAAAATCGTGTATTCATTAAGGTAATTTCGTTTTTTTTTTTTTAAAGTGTTTTGTTTTTTCTAGGCGTGAAATATAGGTGCGACCCTACGTAAAATTCCCTTTTCTCAGTTCTAAATACCCAAAACCCAGATGCAAGATTCATATCGAAGCCATCGTAGTCGTCGTCTTCTTCTTCTTCGCAATCGCAGCCCCACGGTAATCCTACGGTCCAGATTCTTCCCTCCTTACCCACCACCACTCTCCAGAACTCTCTCCTTCTTCTTAATCTTCTTCTCCTTTTCCTCTCTGATTCCTCTGTCCATCTACTTCTTCGGTTCATCACTGCCATCGCCGTCCGGAGGAAGCAAGGCAGATTTCGGTATGGTGCGTGAATTTTTGTTTCGATGTTTCCGATTCTTCTTCTTCTTCTTTTTTGAAGTTTTTAGGATTGTTTGAGATGTGATGATGGTGGCATTTAGGGTGTGCAGAGATTGAACTCGAGTTTGGCTACAATGGGGGAACAAACCGTTTCTTGTACCACTTTCAATATACTGGCTCCTATCTATAAGCGGCTCGATCAACAGGTTCTTTTTTCCTTGCCCTTTTCTCTCTTCATCTGTTATTGATTGATGTGCTTGTTGATTCCAGCGAAGAATTTTGTTGTTCAATAACTGGGGTTTTCAAGATTATGGATCCTTTGTTTTTTCAATTTTGTCACTGGGAACGTGAAACAGAACCAGAGTATCCGAGAGAGTGATTTTCACGCTCGGTGGTTTGATAGGAACCAGAGGATTTTGGATTGGTTATTGCATGATCGGTCTTCGATTATTTGTCTCCAGGTAATATATTCATCAAAGTTCTAACCTTTACACCTTTTTCTTGTCTTTCTAATGTGTCTTTGAAGTGGGTCTGACTTTGTACCAGTAGTTGAATCCGTAACATTGCTGACTTGGCTGTCTGAACATACGCAAATCCTTTTGCCAACAGGAATTTTGGGTCGGAAATGGAGAATTAGAGCGTATGTACCGAGAGAGACTGGGCAGCGGAGGTTACACTACTTTTCAGCTGCCCAGAACAAATGAACGTGGAGATGGTAAGTTCCTTCTTCATTTTCTTCACGAAATGGCTCGATTCTGTAGTTAGGAGTGCGTTATTTCTGACTTGGTTATGAATGATCTCGAGATAGTTATTTGGGCAATCGAAAAAGCATAGTTCGATGGCGAATCAGAAGGGAATAAATATGTGTAGCTGGAAAGAATTCCGGGTTTTGAAAGGATGTCGGTCTTTGCTGTTACTATAATATTCAATGGTGCATTGTTTGTATGCTGTCGTTTACTTGTTTGGACCCTCCAATGTCGAAATTCTGTGCTATATAGGTTTAGACTCTTGTATAATATCGCCTTCACCCCCATGTTTTCTCTTCCATGCTATATTTGCTCATCTCACTCGAGAGGGTTTTGCCCTTTTACTTACTTTCTTTACAGGTCTTTTAACTGCCGTTCACAAGGATGACTTTGAAGTCGTGAATCACCGTGAGCTGCTCTTTAACGACTTTGGAGACCGTGTGGCTCAGCTCTTGCACGTCCAATCGGTTGTTCCATTTTCGCATAATGGAAATGAAAAAGTTCGACAGGAGTTTCTCATCGTGAACACCCATCTGTTGTTTCCTCATGATTCTAGTTTGTCCATTGTAAGATTGCATCAGGTACAGTCCATCCATTCCAGATTTTTTTTTGCTTTTTTGATGTTTGTTTCCGGTCGTTGCTAATTTTGTTGTATCGGCTAATCTTACAGGTCTACAAAATTCTTGAATATCTGGAGACGTACCAAAAGGAAAATAAACTTGGCAACATGCCCATTATTCTCTGCGGGTGAGAGCTTCTGGACTCGTGTTCTGTCTTAAGTTATTATGTCCCTCCATGCATATACTGTTGTAATCTTAGTCTCCTTATTATGTTATTACAGTGACTGGAACGGAAGCAAACGTGGGCATGTCTACAAATTCCTGAGGTCTCAGGGTTTTGTATCGTCGTATGATATTGCTCACCGATACACTGACAGTGATGCAGATGCTCACAGGGTAGATTTCTTCTTTCAGACAACTTTTTTCTCTTGCCTCCTAATCCAGGTCTCATCTCTCATGTCGTAGAAAGACTTATCGTTAAAAGTCCTCCCGTTTCTTCTTTTCAGTGGGTTAGCCATAGAAACCACAGGGGGAACATATGCGGAGTCGACTTCATATGGCTTCGTAACCCTAACAAGTCAAGAAAACCGTTGAAAACGAGTTGGGCAGAGGCGGCTTTTGGTATAATCAAGGTTAGGTTTATCTGTTTGATTGTGACCCGGAGAATATTTTCTCGTTCTTTTTCACGTCTTTAAACTCGAAACCGCCCCTTTTGATTTCTGTTGTTGGGTTTCAGTATCAACTCCAGAAAGCTTCCATAACCGAGGACAAGGCCTTTGCATCTCTAAGGGGCCGTAGCATCAGTGATTCTGTGACATACCCAGATTTTTGTGAAGCGCTTCAGAAGGTGAAAATGAACTTAGTACTAGTAGTTTCTTTGTATCTCTTTCGAGGTTTAATCACTTCAAATGGAATTATGAAACCGAGGTTTTACTAACACGTACAACTTCGAGACTTTCTCTCTTGGCTAGTTTAGTGATGTGTAAACTCTTCCGTTGCAGGTAAATTTAACGGGTCTTCCTTTCAGGCTCAGCTTCGAGGACACAAAAGATCTGTGGCTTCGGGCTGATCTCGATGGAAATGGCGTTCTCGATTATGAAGAACTTAAGGTAAGTCCCTTATCAGTTCACATCATCATAGTCATATCATCAAAAGCCTCATAGACTAAGCGCTGTAATGTAAATACCAGAGGATTTGGGACATGAGATTGGTTGATCAAACTGAATACTGTGAAGAGGGTACGGAAACGGTAGAGAACGCTGAAGAAGAAGCGATCGGTTTCAAGGTGAAGAAGGCACTTTTGTTTCCCCGAGAGGCGGAGAGAGGAATGTGGCCGGAGAACTACACTCTGTCCGACCATGCCCGCCTCACTGTCGAATTCTCACCAGTCAGGATGCTCTGTAGTTAAAGCCCTGAAAAGGTTTTGGACAATAACACAATGTTAGTTACAGTTACAGAAGACAGAAGGAAGTAGAGACAGGTCGGAAACACAGGTTCTTGTCATCTGTATCGTTTTCTTTGTGACAGAGAAGCAAGGACATGCTGTATAAAAAGGTTGTCATGGTGATGACTCTGTTCTCGAAAACCTCAAACCTTGGAAAGTTTGGTGATTTATTGTACGGAAAAATCCAATGAACTCTAAAATCTCTGTAAAAAAGAAAAGAAGGTTTTGACTTCATGCTACGGGATTTCTTATAATATCAGCGTTCTGGATATTAAAATCACCGTATCAGATACAGGAATCTTACCAGTTACTGGGTTGATTTATTTATTAAATTTCATATATTAAAAATAATTAGAGAATTATGTATATATGGGGCTGGAGAAGAAGTCAAGTGTCCTCCCTGGTGATAACAATCGGACCATGTGTCTCTTTTTATCCAAAACGTGATCAATCATTTCCAATTCATAAAGGAAAGGCGAGCAAAACAAGATCTGAATCACCGAACCCGCAGAGGAAGAAGTACCCATAAATTTATATTCTTCAAAGAGGAAGCTTTCGCGACCTTTTTCAGTTTCAGTTTGCAGTTAGTTCATCATCGTACTAAAAAAGGTAAGGTCGGAAGCCTTTCTCACCATTCAGTTCTTCTGTCATTCACTAAGATCATTGACTATTATTTGCCAATCGCTTCCGGATCGGTTTTCCCTGAAAATCTTTCATGGGTTTTCTGTTTTCTTTGTAAATTTTGAGACTTGAAGCGAAAAAGCAGTGCAGGTGATCGATCGCTTGTTTGTTTGTTCTTCCGGCAAATTTTATGGGGTTAGATGAAGTGTTCACTTCGAATTTTGTTGCCCTTTTTTCTCTTTCTTGTCTTGTACAGAAATGATTCTTAGAGGAAACTTGAAAAGGTTCAGAATGTTACTGATGGATCGTAATGACGTTAGTGTTCTGGTTTTTTTCAACAGAGTCTTCAAATTTCTCTGCGATCTCTTTCCATTCATCCGACATGATTCCGGAGCTCAACTTCGTCTGATCGTCTCATTTCCCATTAGGGTTTTCACCCTCTTTCTCAGGTAAACTCAGGATGTTATCAATCTTAGATGTTTTCCTCTGATAAACATCCTTAGCCTGGAGGCGGACTTAAACTAAGATTCGAGCTTGTCAAAGCTTCGAAAATGGCAATGGCTCCGGAGATCAAACTGGTTTTAGGATCTATAGCCTTTGCTATCTTCTGGGTTTTAGCTGTTTTCCCTTCTGTCCCGTTTCTACCCATTGGTAGAACCGCCGGTTCTCTTCTTGGCGCAATGCTGATGGTAATCTTCCAAGTCATAAGCCCAGAACAAGCATACTCAGCCATTGATCTCCCGATTCTCGGTCTTCTCTTCGGCACAATGGTTGTAAGTGTATACCTCGAAAGAGCCGATATTTTCAAGTACTTGGGCAAATTGCTTTCTTGGAAAAGCCAGGGACCGAAGGACTTGCTTTGCCGAATCTGCCTGATTTCTGCCATTTCAAGCGCTCTTTTCACCAATGACACTTCTTGTGTGGTTTTAACCGAGTTTGTGCTGAAGATCGCGAGGCAACAAAACCTCCCTCCACATCCATTTCTACTCGCTCTTGCCTCGAGTGCTAATATTGGGTCTTCAGCCACTCCGATCGGGAACCCTCAGAATCTTGTCATCGCTGTCCAAAGCAACATCTCTTTCTGGGAGTTTCTTCTCGGGTTATTCCCTGCGATGATTCTTGGTATCGGTGTGAATGCTTTAATTCTTCTTGGTATGTATTGGAGATTGTTATCAGACCACAAGGATGAGGAAGACGTCCCCTCGGAAGTTGTAGCCGACGAGGACGTGACTTCCCATCGGTTTTCACCTGCTACATTGCCGCATTTGAACTCATTAGGCTCTGAAGAATGGAATTCGAGATTGAGTTCTGAAAACCCTAGCATGAACGGCACTCCAGTCCACACCGACACTCTCAGGAACAGAACGGTATCTGTTGAGAGCGAGATTCACCGGGAATCAAATGCATCGAGAGAAACAACAAACAATCCTTTCCAGAAAGAAGACGAGACAGGGTTGTCAAAGAGAATCTCTTCTGTGGATTCAACCCCGGAAAATTACTTCAGAACAAGCAATTGCTGCGAGGAGAAGTGGAAAAGAGTCTTGTGGAAATCATGTGTTTATTTAGTCACCCTTGGAATGCTCATATCTTTGCTTATGGGTCTGAATATGTCGTGGACCGCAATCACAGCAGCTCTTGCTCTCGTCGTTCTTGATTTCAGAGACGCCCGGCCATCCCTCGAGAAGGTACATTCTACTATCCTTTTGCAGGTACTCGAGTTCAAAATCATAACCATGAGCTTCTGTGTGGTGGCAGGTATCATACTCGCTTCTGATATTCTTCTGCGGGATGTTCATCACAGTGGACGGATTCAACAAAACCGGAATCCCCACGGCTCTCTGGGATTTCATGGAGCCATATGCAAAGATCGACACTTTCAGAGGAACCGCAGTTCTTGCCCTTGTCATTCTTGTACTGTCGAATGTAGCTTCCAATGTACCAACCGGTATTGTCATGATCCCTAGAACCTTTCCATGTTAGCCCATCACAGAAAGTGAGGTCTTCTATGCAAATGAATCTAAAAGCTAGGGTTTTTCTTGATGGGTGTTCAGTGCTTTAGCTGGGAGGGTAGAGTGGCTACTTCTTTATGCAAAAGAAATCTAAAAGTTAGGGCTTTTCTTGATGGGTATCCAGTGCTTTTGCTGGGGAATAGAGTTGCTTCTTCTTTAAGCAAAAGAAATCTAAAAGTTTGGTTTTTTCTTGATGGGTATTCAGTGCTTTTGCTTGGGGGTAGAGTGGCTGCTTCGGCGGCCATGATCTCGGCAGCAGAAGAGAAGAAGGCGTGGCTGTTGCTGGCGTGGGTGAGCACTGTGGCCGGAAACCTCTCCCTGCTCGGGTCAGCGGCCAATCTGATAGTGTGCGAACAAGCTCGACGGGCTTTGCATTTGGGATACACACTCACTTTCTGGAAACATATCAAATTCGGTCTTCCTTCCACTCTCATTGTCACAGCCATTGGTCTTCTCCTCATCCGGTGACTACTCTCTTCTTACCCTATGCAATGTT